CAGGCGCCCTTAAGATTTTATTTTTAAGTAATCTTTACACCCAAAGTGGGGCTCAAACTCCTAACCTCAAGATCAAGAGTCACATGCTCTACCAACTGAGCCAGCCAGGTGCCCCTGTAAGAGATACTTTAAATTCACATTCTTCACTAGGTGAAAATATTGGGGAGAAGTCTATAAACGAATGTTAGAGCTCCCAACTTTTATGCAGCGAGCAGTCTGCTACTGATTGAAAATGACAGGATAAAAACAGTCATGTGCTCTTTTCCAGATTGCTGGCCGGAGATAGTTCTTGGTGGCTCAGCTGTGCTGCTTTTCTGAGTAGGCCCATCAAGGACATGAAACATTTTAGTTCTGGGCATTTATCTATGCTCTTAAACGTAGACAGCAGCTAACTGAATGATAAAAGACTTAGTAAACAAAGTTGTACATATAACTTATTTTTATTCCCAGTAATAACCAGAAAAACCAAATCAAATTTAAGATTGAGAATATCATAAGTTTTCCCAGCAGCCTCTGATTTATCTATTCCTTCTTTGTTTTTTCCTGAGGAAATAGAACATATGACAGTGGGTGTTGCAGTTGCTTTCCACTTCCTCTTATAACTGTAATTTGCTGTAAATATACTTGCTTATTAATTTTCATGTATTTTGACTTGCCTTGATTCCATTTAGGATATTCAGGCCTGGTAGAAGCAGGAGCATTAGTGTCTTGGATGGCTGTCAAGATGATTGATAATCTGTGTTCCAGTTTCCAGGCCTCTTCAAACCCATGCTTAACCTAGAAGTAGTAATCAGGAAGCTTGCCTTTTTTTTTTTTTTTTTTTTTTTTTTTTTTTTTTTTTTTTTTTTTTTTTTTTTTTTTTTTTTTTTTTTTTTTTTGGCTCTTTTCCTACCATGGTGACTTTGAAGTGAAGAAATGTGTGTCTGCTTAAGTGTATGGTACTTCTCTTCATCCAATACAGATAGGAATAAGGCACAATTCTTGCCCCAGGAAACTCCCAGTTTAGTAGTGGAATAAAACCAATCCAGTAATAATCACAAAGCATTTTTAAGAGGCCAGTTACGTAAATACTTGTTTTTATGTAATACATGTTTTAGACTATATAAAAGGTATATGTAGGCAAATCTGATTAGCATAGTAATGAGAAGTCACCAGTGTAGAAGTAGAAAAAAGAGAAATCTAGGGGCACCTGGGTGGCTCCATTGGTTAAGCATCCAACGTTGGCTCAGGTCATGATCTTGCGGTTTGTGAGTTCGAGCTCCACATTGAACTCTGTGCTGACAGCTCAGAGCCTGGAGCTTGCTTCAGAGTCTGTGGCTCCCTCTCTCTCTGCCCCTCCCCTGCTCGTACTCTCTCAAAAATAAATAAACATTAAAAAAATGCATAAAAAAAGATAAATATGGAACTTGATTATCAGAAAGTATTTTAGGTTCTGTAAA